CTCTGACACCAGGCAAAGGGAAGAGATAAGGAAGATAAAGAGCTTTCCAAAATGAAGCACATTTGAACTGCAACTGTGACGTGGAGAGAAGATGCTGCATGTGTCCATCTGATCCCCAGGCAAGCTTTGCTTTTTGCCTTTTAAGAGCAATGAATGCATCAAGGGGCTAAATCTGAAAGCAAACGTGAGTTGCTTCACATGAAGAAATAGATGAGAAGAGGCCTGGATTTGGAAGCTGTAGGAAGTGTTCAGCTGAGCATGGACCTGGGTATTCTGCCCTGCAGAAACCACTGTGTCCTTTGGAGAGCAGCACCCTGCTGAACACTTGGATCTCATAGATGTTACCAGTGTTGAAGGGGCTTTGGTTGGGAGCTGCCACAAACACCGATTCTTCTGTTGTTAAACCTGTAGCTGTCTGTAAAAGACAAGCCCATTGGCTGCACCAGTGAAGCCTCTGAAGAAGTAAAAGCTCAAATATTACCTTGAAATGAAACTTAGGTTTCCTTATGAGCCTGTGTCTGTCTGCTCCCTTCCAGACTGAGTCCTGAAAAGGGCTGAGTCAGCAGCCAGCAGGAGCATGCCTTAAAGCCTTAAATTACCCAGTAATGCAGTGATGGAGAATCATCTTATGGCCTGAAGTAGAGGATGGAGAGCCAGGAGACCTGGAGCGTTTTCCTGGCTTTTCCACTGACTTTATTCAATGGTTTTTTCATGTTCTCCTTTGGAGGCTTTTGAATGGGGAGACCAAAATATATACTTTTAGAATGACATCATTATTAAATCTGGAGGCCATTAAAGAAAGGGTGTGAGGGGAGGAACAGGCCCTACAATAAAGGGAATAGTCAGCCCAAACCAAGCGTCCTGCAGATCTAAGCCTTGATTTATTCCTGGGGAGCTCAGCACGTGCTTTCTGTGGGACTTGGGGGAAAGATGTGTCCAAACCATGGTCACAGCAGCAGGAGTGGCTTTACCTGAAATAGTGTCCTTATAACATGTTGTTATTATTGCTTATAATGATGCCACCTTAAGTGTGTGTGTGTGGACTTGGCTCCTACCTAATGCTGTCCATGTCTGCTGCTCTAAGTGCTCTTAAGTCAGCCCGTTGTTGGATTGTGTGTTCTAACTGAAGAGCAGGGCTTTTCCTTGCTGCTGGTGCAGTGAAACATCTCGGAGCTGAGGAGAGGTTTCGGGGGGAGCCAGGGAGGAATAAATCCAGGAGCTTTGTGCTGTGGAGTGACAGGAGTGGTGCAAAACTTCTGTGCTGCTTTATCAGTCCTCCAGCCCAAGTCTCGTGTGGTGGATGCGGTTGTAATGGGTCCCAGGAGCTAGAGGTGGAAGAAGCTGTTTCAGAGCCCACGTATCTCATCCCAGGAATGGTGGGGAGTTTGTTCTGTTGAGACTTCCCAGTGTTTTCCCTGTTGTTCTTTGGGGCTTGTTGTTCTGACATTATTCTGCTGCTGTTTGGCTTGTTTCCCGGTGGGAAGTGGCCTGGATGGGATGGATCGATGGATGCATGGATGGATGCTGCTGCCTCTCCAGGGTCACGTCTCCCTGGTGTCCCTCCTGACCAGCCTGGACAGGAGGCAGAAAGCCAAGATCCCTTTTCAGTACCATGGTGTTAGGTGGCTTCTCTGGTCACACCGGGCTCCTGAAGCTTCCCCGTTATACCTGGGCTGCTGTTTCTTGTGCAGATAATAAGCCTGTGTTCCAGTCCCGCTGGATTCTGCTGCTCCTGACATCATGACTTAGTCTGAATGGTTTCCCTTGAACACCTCACTGAACAAGGCCCCTGGGTACGGGGGGTTCTCTTTCAGGGGGGATGCAGGCACTGGGAAAGCTTTGTCTCCTCCTGTTTGAACGTGTGGCTGTTCTGAAGCGGATCTAACGCGACCTGGAGGAGAAGCGGGCTCTGGTTGCTGGTACTCACTGCACTGCTGTCTCCTGGAGCGCTGTTCAGACCTTGCAGAGAATTCCTTTGGGATTCGCTTCCACAGGTGGAATAGGACTAGAAGGGAGATTCCTGAATGTTTTTTCCAGTCCCTTCCCCTTGCAGGATCCTGACAAAGATGAGCTACAATGCTCTATGGCTGGAGCACAATGTGTGCCCCTGAGCCCCTTTTCTTAGGGAAGGTTTGGGACTGCTCAGGCAGCCTTATTCAAATCCCTGTTTGGAGGGAAGTTGCACTTCCCTCGGGGAGCAGGGGGCTCTCGGGCAGTCTTATCCTCTGGGCCAGGTTTTCTGCTCTAAGCTTTTGGGGAACAGAAGTGAACGTGCTGCAGTTTGGGGAGTGTCGGACCCCTCTGGCTTTGCCAAGAGTGACAGTGACATGTCCTGCATTGACCAGAATCCAAACGAGCATCTCCCACACTGAGCTTGGTACCAGTTAAAATGACCTGGAGTCTGCTGCAACCCTCCGCTCCCGTCCTCATGGACCATGAGGTGTCCCAGTGCTGTGACTGCCTGCAGGGCTCTGGCATCCTGCAGGGGTCTGTCTGCTTTGTGCAGTAACCCTTCAGGGAGCATCGCTCTGGAGCTGTTCCCTGCCTCCGAATGGCTTCCCCAAACCCTTGCGTCTTTTGGCTGCAGTCCTCCAGTGAAGTGACTCGAGAGCTTTGGCTGGAATAGGGAGCAGTCCTGGAAGCTGGAGCTGAGCAGCTTTTAGCTATTCCTTGGCCTCTGATCACCAAAGACCCCTATTAAGCCGAGCGCGGAGCTGACCGCTGGCTGTTGTTTGCCTTGGCACAAGTGGAACATGCTGCCCTGCTGCTTACACACTGTCGGTCCAGCCTTTTCTCCTGTGAAATGTTCTTACTTAGTTTATTCTTGAGCTTTCTGGAGTATCCTCAACCGAAGCTGTAACCTCGGGGGGAATTTGCCATATTCTGATTACACTGAGATGCCTCCTTATCTCTTGAGGTCCTTCAGGCCTTGACTGTGAGGCCACTCACCACACATTATCTGCCTTCTCCTTCTCAGATAACCCTCTGTGGCTGGCTGCTGCACAACAAGAACATCCAGATGCTCCAGAAGGTCCCAGCAATGTATAAACAGAGCACTGTGCTCTTGGGCTGGGGGGACAGCCATGGGAAAGCTGTAGTGACCTCTTCACAAACCCAGCTCCAGCCTGCAGCTAAACCAGGGCTCTGCTGTCCTCATCTGAGGCTTTTGGAGAGAGATTGGTTCAGTCCAGCTTAGGATTTGATGGGTATTTGCTGAGGCTTTTGAACTCCAGTGTAAGCAGCAGCGAGAAACAGGCACGTGAAACGAAGTGGGGCAGAATGAGTGTTTAAAGAGATTGAAAGTGAAAACCAGACCTTTCTGAGGACCATTGGGCTTGTGGCTCTGCTGGGCTTGGGGTTAGACACCCCCCTCTCCCCCTTCGGTGTCTTTACTTGTAACTAACATGTCGTTATTCTCTGTTATGATCTAAGGGGGTTACTTGAAGTATTTTATGCTGCTCATGGCAATTGCTCTGCCCATGGGTTAAACCCATCCTGTGTCCATGGAAAGCGTTGTAAGAGGTTACCTTTGAGCCCTGGTGTGGACTTCAGGCTACTGACGGCCCCGGTTCAGGATCCTTCTGCAGAACACGTGTGTCCTGCCCTGCGACTGCCTTTACCTTGGGAGATCCCTTCTGTTTGCTGCTGGCGGGAGCAGCCTTGGGAACCAGTCGTGTTTCCTTCCTCTCTTCCCCTCCAGCTCGCTGTGATGTGGGGCAGGACTTTGATTCCTCTCTCTCAGCCTCACCTCCTGACCCACAAACCCTCCTCGGTTCATAGCAGTGCTCCTCCGAATGCCCGATGCAGATGAACAAACCTCGGACCTGTGGAGCCAGCGCGGAAGAACGTGGCTCCTTGAAACCAAATGTGCATTTCCCAAGGAGTTTTTGCTGCGTATCCCTCCTCTTTGCCTTGATTTAGACAGACCTGTTGTAAAGTCTCCCTTTGCTTTCCCTGTTTCTTTCCCTGCCATCCAATGCTAGACTTCAACCCCACTTTTGTCTGTTCCTTTGGCCTTTCCTCCCCAGGTCTCAAAGCACTTCAGTGGGAAGCTCCTGATCACCAGCGCTGTTTAACACAAGGGGAAACTGAGGCACAACCCTGGCAGTGACCTGGTCAGGGAGCAGGTCGGTGTCAGAGCTGGGGTTTGAAATGATGGCTCTGGGATTTCTGCTCCATCCCTCCCCGAGCACTGTGTAAGGCTGGTTCATGGGGTTTGCTGTGTCTTCAGAGAGGATGTGACGAGCTGGCTGCGTTTTGGGGATAGCTGAGACCAGAAGGGGTTTCATTTCTAGACATCTGGTTTTGGAGCCAAGTCTTTTCCCTTCTCCCTCCCCTCTGGTGGTTGCCAGGAAATAACAGAGCTTTAGAGGGCTGGGAGCAGTTTCCCACTGCACTCGGGCATTGCTTCATTTGGAAACTATGGAATCCCGAACCCCCAGTGGGCTGCTTGTCCGCTCCATGTGCTGAGTGAGGCTGGGGAGGGCAGAAAGGGACCGGGATCTAAACCCCGCACAGCATCTGCGTGGAATCCCTCTAATGAGGGAATCACTGTTTAAGTGATAGTTTTGGCTTCTTTCTGGAAGGGGATATGGGAGAAAAATGGTTCAGTTGTGTCCTGGTCTCATTTGACCTGAGGAGCCACTGATTGACTGGGTTTGCAGAGAAATAGGAAAATCCGTTGCACTTCCAACCTGTTTCCATAGGAAAAAATGGATTTTCCAGCTTTTGGCAAGTTGACCTCAACTTACAGACGGGTTTAGTGGGAGAGGTTTTCAGCTTCTCCACCCCACAGGAAGTACTGTACCTGACTTTGGTTATCCCAGGTGCCGCCGGACACAGCCTATTCCTTAGCTCTGCTCCCTGCCGAAGCAAGAGCCGTAAAGTCCTTGTCATTCCCAAGCCTTACCCAAGCTTTTCCTCCCTTCCAGGCCAGGCTCACGGTGCCTCCCTGCCCTGACTGGCAGCTGTAGCCGAGGACTCGGCTCTGAGCACTGACGATGGGAGGATTCCTGGGATTCACCCGTAACCACTGTTTCATCGCTCTCTTCCTCACCTCCTTGAGCCCGCTGGGCCTCGCGCAGTACGAACACTGGCCCCACGTCCCCGGTTACCCTGAGCCCCCCCCCCAAGTGTACCAGCCCCCCCCGAGACCAGCGAACGTCCCCACGATCCAGCT